CTCACTCTCCCAGGTGCTGTTGCTGTAACAGTTACAGGAGATCAGAGTGGAAACGAGTTAAAAAGAGACTGGAGGGTTAGGAAAAAAGCTCCAATTATGGATCGATGTTTCGTTATTCCTGGCATTTCAGAAGAAAGGCCCACATTTCCGGATCCATCTCAGACGGGGTCATTTGCATCCCGTTAGGATGGACGGTCCCCTCTGCTTCGCCATTGGGTTCTGAGGGCGGGCTGAGCAGTTCGTCTGTGAGTGTGACCGTGCCGTTCTCGTTCCGCATCGAACATGCAGCTCACAGACGCCGTGTGCTGCCCGCGGCCCCGGGGACTCTGACCGAGCGAGGCGGCCTTCCGTGTCCCAGGTTGGAGGGGGGGCGAGCTCTGAGAGATGGACCTGTCCAGGCATGTACACTGTGGTCGGCCACGCTGGGCTCGGACCCCGCAGCACCTGCTCCTGTGCCGTGTGCCGCCCTCCGCCCCTGAGGCCACGTGTGCCTGCCGGGCCCGTTCCCAGTGGGGTTGTACTGGCAGCCGTCACAGCGCAGAGCACAGGCACTGTGGTCTTGGCATTGTTTTCACAAAAACAGTTCAGACTTTTCAGGTCGCAAACCCGCTGCTGTAGAGAAGACGTGTCGTCCTCGTTTATTGCCAGCGCATCCACCTTCCTCCCGCTTCCGCTCCTCTCTGGGAGGACGGCGCGCGGCCGGGGCTGACGGAGAGCCAGGCAGCGCTCAGCGGACGCGGCGCTGTAATCAAGGCCGGGAAAGGTCGTGCAAACATCCATCACCGGAAAGCTCGTTGCTTATAAAGTCAGGGAAGGTAAACGTGAAGACAAAGGTTTATTGGAGACGAGGGATGCTTCATGGTGATGAAAGGCTCCCTCGTTAAGCGGATGACATCTCTCCGAATGTGCGCGCACTGATAGTCCAGGTGCGCAGTGCGGAAGCCAGCACCGACGGGAGCGGGAGGGATGGACACGTTCCCCATCCGAGGCCGACACGGAACTGCCTCCCGAGTGACGGAGAGACGTGCACTGGAGGAGCGGTAAGAGGAGAGAGGCGCGCGGCCCTGCCCAGCCCCGACTCCCGAGCGAGGACGGCTGGGGGATGCCGTCGCCTCCAGGCAGACTGGGCGCCACGGCACCGAGGGCCGGGCCATCTCCCCAACGGCTTCCTTCCGCCAGAGCTCAGGCCGACGGCGAGATCCCAGGAAACCCTCCGGCATCTGGACCTTGTCAACACGCTTCCGTAATGACGCCCGGTTCACAGAACCACAGGGAACAGCTGAGCACATGTGGGTTGAGTGATGACGGCACATGTCAGAATGTGTCTGCTGCACCTGGAACACGCGTGGAGGGAAGTGCGTATGGGGAGAGGATCGAGGCTTCGGGTCCATCATCAGAGCCACCACCGCGAGAAGCAGGAGAAGAGGAGGAACTTGGCAAACCACGGGAAAGGGGGGAGGGAGCGGATGGACGTGAATCTGAACTGGAAAGTGGAGGGTGAAGGCGACTCAGCCAAGTCTCAAGTAGCTTCTGAAAATCAATAAAAACCTGTAGTTAGCCTTATTAACAACAACAACAAAAAGGCAAACGGCCAGGGGCAGGCGTGGGTGAGGAGTCAGCCCCACAGATCCACGGACGTGAGAGCTAACGGATGTTACAGTCTGCGCCAAAGGATCGGGAACAGGGAACGGACACACTCCGGCAGACGGGGCCTGCGGGGGAAGGGACACAGGAAACAGCTTACCACTCGCTGTCAGTGTGGAAGGTCAGCAGCAGCACCTTACGGGGTCCAGCGTCAGGTTAGATGGCGTCACCTGTGCGCTCTGAACAGTTAAAGCCGGAGCGACGCAGCCCCCAGGCCTTTCAGGGTGGGGGGGCCAGGCCTCCTCCTCGCCGTCATTCAGAGCCCGATACCAGGCCTCACGGAGAGGCTGAGGATAGAGAAAGCAGAGATGGAGCTCTGAGGAATCTAGACACAGTCCGAGTATGGGCCTGCCTGTGCTCGGGGGGTGGGCTGTGGGGCTGGCTGTGCCCCGGGGGGTGGGCTCTGGGGCCGGCCGTGCCCGGGGGGTGGGCTGTGGGCCTGGCCGTGCCCAGGGAGTGGGCTGTGGGGCTGGCTGTGCCCCGGGGGGTGGGCTCTGGGGCTGGCCGTGCCGGGGGGTGGGCTGTGGGCCTGGCCGTGCCCAGGGGGTGGGCTCTGGGGCTGGCCATGCCCCTGGGGGGGGTGGGCTCTGGGGCTGGCCGTGCCCAGGGGGTGGGCTCTGGGGCTGGCCATGTCCCTGGGGGGGGTGGGCTGTGGGCCTGGCTGTGCCCTGGGGGGTGGGCTGTGGGCCTGGCTGTACCCTGGGGGGTGGGCTCTGGGGCTGGCTGTGCCCCGGTGGGGGGGGGGCCTCTGGGGCTGGCTGTTCCCTGGGGGCTGGGCTCTGGGCCTGGCCGTGCCCCGGTTGGGGGGGGGGGGCTCTGGGGCTGGCTGTTCCCCGGGGGCTGGGCTCTGGGCCTGGCCGTGCCCCGGTGGGGGGGGGGGCTCTGGGCTGGGCCTGCGCCCCCTCCCTCTTGGCCTGTGTGCCCAGGGACGTGCTCTGAAGTAGCTCGCTCGGCGGCTGGGGTCCCGGCCTCTGTAGGTCTGAGTAGAACTCGTTGCTCTCTGTGGGCTGGTGTCCATTTCCCGTTAGCTATGCCTGTGACTTCTTCACTGTATGGGACTGTTTTTGCTGGCGGTTCTGGGTCTGGCGTCGTGCTGAGCTCGGAGCCCGGTCCCCCATCTCCTGTGCTGCCCACCTCTCCCGCGGCTTCCCCCTGAGGAGGGTCTGGCTCCTCACCTCCGACCCCTCACCTCCGACCCCGCACCTCCGAGGTGTCCCAGCTGTGAGGAGGCCCCTCAGGAGCCCGCAGCTCTCTTCGCCGACTGCTGCTTCCAGGTGCGGGGCGGTGTGCACCCCGAGTTCTGGTGGACGGGACGGCGAGTGGCCTCGGGCGGAGTGCACTGACCTCTGTGCGGTGGCTTTCCCAGCAGCCCAGCCAGCACGCAGGAGCCCGCTCTCGGGGGTGACCCTCCGGGTGCCCTTCCTGGAGCATCTGCTCTGGCTGGGCGCTGGGTCTGTCGTGGGCCCTTGGTCCGCATCCACACCTGAGCTGGTCTGTGTACAGAACCCTCTGTGCCGGCGGCCATGGAGTGGACAGACCTGGGAGAGGGTCCCCTGGCCCCGGACCTGGCCGCCGCTGCCTCGTCTCGCAGGGGCGCGCCTCCGACAGCTCCCTGCACCTGCTGTGTCAGAGCCCCTCTTAGGACGGTCGGGTCCCCAGTCTGTGGTCTCGTCCCTGAGGAGAGGCTGCAGGGACTGGGCCGGAGGTGTCCGCTCCCCAGGGCTGGCCTGCACCTGTGGAGCCTCGGGGAGGGGCGGGAGGACCGTCTTCTGAGGGCTGGGCAGCGGACTCGCGGCTGGAGCTGCTGCTTGTCTCGGCGCTGGCTCGGCTTTTAGGCGTGGAACCGGGACCCGGTGCGGGCTGACTGTTTCTGTGGATTGTGTGACGGAGATTGCCCCAACCTCTCTGTTCCGCTGTTAACCGCCCGCTCCCATCCGTCAGGCGGTTCTGGACGTAAAGGGAAGACGCGCCTGCTCCAGGGTCAGGGGGCGAGTGGCAACACCCCTGCACATTGAAATGCGTTTCCAGCACGCGGGGCGTGTGCGTGGGACTCAGGGAGACACGGGGGTCAGGCAGGGTTCAGGGCCGTCCCTGCCCCTCCGTCCTGCTGCGTCTCCCCTGCCCCGGCAGCCAGCCCGCCCTCTGACCTCTGCACGGCAGGTGCTTGTAGGCAGCACAGCCCCCCCGAATCGGCGCCCACGGCCTCTCCAGGCAGTCCCCCCAGCTGGTCCCCAAAGCGCCCGCACAGCCTTCCCCCCAGGAGAGGGAGCGGCGGGTGCGAGAGGAGCGACAGCCCCACTGGGCGTGAAGTTGGGGAAAAGGCAGTGGGGGGGGGGGGAGGCAGAGGAGGCAGTGGGGGAGCGGGAGGCAGAGGAGGCAGTGGGGGGGGGGAGGCAGAGGAGGCAGTGGGGGGGTGGGAGGCAGAGGAGGCAGTGGGGGGGGGAGGCAGAGGAGGCAGTGGGGGGGTGGGAGGCAGAGGAGGCAGTGGGGGGGGAGGCAGAGGAGGCAGTGGGGGGGGAGGCAGAGGAGGCAGTGGGGGGGGAGGCAGAGGAGGCAGTGGGGGGGAGGCAGAGGAGGCAGTGGGGTGGGAGGCAGAGGAGGCAGTGGGGGGGAGGCAGAGGAGGCAGTGGGGGGGTGGGAGGCAGAGGAGGCAGTGGGGGGGGAGGCAGAGGAGGCAGTGGGGGGGAGGCAGAGGAGGCAGTGGGGGGGGAGGCAGAGGAGGCAGTGGGGGGGAGGCAGAGGAGGCAGTGGGGGGGAGGCAGAGGAGGCAGTGGGGGGGAGGCAGAGGAGGCAGTGGGGGGGGGGAGGCAGAGGAGCAGTGGGGGGGAGGCAGAGGAGGCAGTGGGGGGGAGGCAGAGGAGGCAGTGGGGGGGGAGGCAGAGGAGGCAGTGGGGGGGAGGCAGAGGAGGCAGTGGGGGGGGAGGCAGAGGAGGCAGTGGGGGGGGGAGGCAGAGGAGGCAGTGGGGGGGGAGGCAGAGGAGGCAGTGGGGGGGTGGGAGGCAGAGGAGGCAGTGGGGGTGGGAGGCAGAGGAGGCAGTGGGGGGGTGGGAGGCAGAGGAGGCAGTGGGGGGGTGGGAGGCAGAGGAGCAGTGGGGGGGAGGCAGAGGAGGCAGTGGGGGTGGGAGGTAGAGGAGGCAGTGGGGGGGGGGAGGCAGAGGAGGCAGTGGGGGGGTGGGGGGGAGCTGGGACCCGGGTGCATTGACCAGCGCGTCCCCTGAGCGGCCGTGCGCCCGGTGGCGCTGGCTGCTGGGTGCTGAGGGCACTCGGAGGGTGCCCATCGGGAGACGCCTCTGCCTCACGTGGGGGCTCCCAGCCCTGCGTCCTGACTGACTAAACCCCACCCCCTCTGCCCACAGAGGAGCTGCGGAGGCTCAGCTGGTCCGGGATCCCGAAGCCCGTGCGGCCCATCACCTGGAAGCTCCTCTCGGTGAGTTCTCGCGCGGGGCCGGGCTGCGGGCCGGCTTCTGCTCTGGGTCAGGGGCGGGGACAGGCTGAGTCCAGCTTCCTCACCTGCCCAGCTCGGGTCTCTGGTCTGGGGGCGCGTGGGGAGGGGTTGCGGTCTGGGTCCTGGGCCCGCATGGGCGGGGGCGGCGGGAGCCAGGGCGGTGGGGGACTGTTTGCTCTAAATGGGCCGCTGTCACAATTCGGAGGCGCCTTTTTGCTAATGAGTCTTAATGAGGTTGCAGCTCAGGGTGTACCCTCACCTGATGCAGCCCGGGCAGAGGCTGCGTGCTGATGAAAACTGCCGTCGTATTAGGCCCGTGCTTCTCTCTGGTCTCCCTTTCTTTCCCGCGGGGTGCGAGCCCCTCGGGGATTGGGGGGCGTTAGGAGGACACACGGGGGCCCTCAGGACAGTTGTGTGGTGGAGGGCGTGTCCCTCGGGTGACGGCATCCTGTTCCTTTTCCTTCGGCGCCCGATTCTGTGGGTCTTGGTAGATCCTCTGCCTGCTGGGAGTGGGCGCGGCCGGCCCGGGAGCATGTGGTCCCGGGGGCTCCGCGGAGGGCTGGGTGCTCTGTCCCATCTCCTCTGCCTCCAGGACAGGGCTCAGCACTGAACCCGATGGAGAAGTCACATTTATCCAGGTCCCTAGGACAATAGTCAGTGTCCTTGAACTTGACCCTGTGTCAAGGCCTGTGACCTGAGGACTTTCCTGCCGTGCCCACGACTCGCCAGTGACGTGGTCCAGTGGTGTGGACATGCTGTCCTCAGGGACGGTGGCCCTGGGCCTCAGGGAGGGCACGAGACCCTCCTGCTGCTGGGAGCCGGCTGCCCCGGCCGAGGCTCACGCTCTGCAGGCGCTGAGCACAGCGCGCTCCGTGGGACACGTGGACGGGTCCTTTTTAAGTAGCGTCTCCGTAGCCTCGGGCACAGCTAGTGATGTGCCCGCCTGCGCTGGGGTAGAAGGGCTAGAGGGCGGGACACGGGGGCCTGGGTCCCGCCTCTGGGCGGTGCGCACGGGGCCGCAGGGGCTGGTGGTGGTGTCACCGGGGGCCTGGACCCGAGTCCTGGCGTGTTGGCTGACATTTGTGATTAGTGTTTTTGCAGCATGCTAATACAGCAATTAAGGCTCCTGTCATTCTGTCGTTTAGGATTCATCACATGCTTGCATATACCTCATTTGCATAATTTCTAGTTTTGCTTAATTATCGAAAGGCCTCAGCTCGCACACGTGTTTTCCTCCAGGAACGGGAGGGCGCGCGGGAGGGTGTGGCTGATCGCCACGTGGCTTTCGCTTTGAGAACTTCGCTCCAATGGGTGAAGCTAAAGTGTGGGGGACGCGGAGGCTCGGGGCCGCGGGGTCGCGGGGGCCGCACTCACCTCCGTCTGCGCAGGGCTACCTGCCTGCCAACGCGGAGCGCAGAGCCGCCACGCTGCAGCGGAAGCGGGAGGAGTACTTCGCCTTCGTGGAGCACTACTACGACGCGCGCAACGACGAGGGCCACCAGGACACCTACAGGCAGGTGGGCGCCCTCCGTCCCTCCACGCGGCCCCGTTCCCCCTGTTCCCCCCCCCCCCCCCGTCCCCACGGCCCCGTTCCCCCCGTCCCCTTGTCCCCGCGGCCCCGTTCCCCGCAGCCCCCCCCCCCCCCCCCGTTACCCCGGTCCCCACGGCCCCGTCCCCCCTCCCCCCCCTTCCGTCCCCTGGCCAGCGCTGCTTCCTGGGGGCTAATGCGCGGGGACAGACGGCGGCTCTGGGGTTCCCGGCGGCAGCTGGGCCAGGGGCAGAGAGCGCCGGAGGGCGGTAAAGGAGTGGTCGTCCTCCTCCTCCTCCTCTTCCTCCTCCTGCTCTTCCTCCTCCTCCTCCTCCTCCTCCTCTTCCTGTCCTGACATTCGGGCAGCTCCCAGCCTGGCCCTGCACCTGCCACGCAGGAAGCCGGTTTGGGGCAGAAGGCGCTTGCTCAGGGGCGGATAGCGGCCTGCCCCCCTCCCCTCACCGGTCCGAGAGAAGAGTTGGCATTGATAGTGTTGAACACGTTTTGATGTATTCTTTTTTTTTTTTTTTTAATATATTTTATTGATTTTGTACAGAGAGTAAGGGAGAGAGAGAGTTAGAAACATCGATGAGAGAGTGTCATCGATGAGCTGCCTCTTGCACACCCCTTACTGGGGATATGCCCGCAACCAAAGTACATGCCCTTGACAGGAATCGAACCCAGGACCTTTCAGTCCCCAAGCCGACGCTCTATCATTGAGCCAAACCGGTTTTGGCTCGATGTATTCTTACTTAAGAAAAAGACTTCGGCGGTGACTGGCATCTCTCCGGAGGGCGCACAGCTCCTTCTGTTGGGAGTCCGGCAGGGTGGTGGCTGGGCGGCGGTGAGGGTGGGGCGAGTGGAGCAGCCTGCCTGGTTGGCCCACGCAGGTGGCGGCGGGAGACGGGCCCAGGTCACCTGCAAAGACGGGGTGGGACCTGAGTTCACGGTGCAGGCGTCCCCTTGGCCGGCTGGCTGTGTCCCTGCTGGTGGGTGGTGACAGAGGGCCGTGGGGGATGTTCGTGGTCTGGGTGCTGGAGGCAGCGTGCCACCAGCTCACGCCCCAACGTCATTTTGGCTGCTTTCTGAGCCTCGCGTGTCCCTCCGTGAGCGGGACTCTCCCGGGGCTAGAGCCTCGGGTGCTGCCTGTGGCAGTGGCTGGGTCCGCAGGCCCTGCGCCGTGGCGGATGGCCTGTTCCGAGAAGCACTGCCGCGGCTGAGCCGTGGCTGGTGCCGTTCCCGTCCCTGAGCCGCTGGAGTCTCCGCTCGCGATGGCTGTGGTCGGGTTGTCCGGTGCTGAGGCCTGCGCTGTCCTCACGCGGCAGCCGCTGCTCGGGCGGGCCGGTCAGCCAGCGTCCCGCCAGGACTGGGAGCCCCTCCTCGGCCAGCGTCAGAGCAGACAGCGGCAGCGCCGGCGTCCCCTCCGGTAACACCGGCGCCGGGTGCCATCCCGTCTCTCCTCCGTCTCCAGATCCACATCGACATCCCGCGGATGAGTCCCGAGGCGCTGACACTGCAGCCCGCGGTGACGGAGGTAAGGCACCGGCCCTTCGCTCAGGGGCACCCCCTCTCCGTGTGGGCAGGGCGGGCGCGGTGCCCAGGCCGTGCCCACGGCGTGGCTGACGGGGTCGCTCACTGCTGGGAGGAGCCGCACTGGCCCTGTGAGCATCGCCGTCTGGGCTCGGCATCCCGGCCTGGCTCACGCGGGCTGCTCCGGCTCCGGCATCCTGTGTGCGCTCCACCGGCAGCACTGAGGGGGCGGGGGGTGGGGAGGTGGGGAGGGGTGGGGAGGGCAGGGGGGAGGGCGGGCTAGGGGGAGGGCAAGGGGCAGGGCATGCCCTCCCTTTAGCAGTGTCTCTTACCCAGGGGCTCTTGCACTTCTGCTGTCCCTCTGGCTGGGACTCACCCCCGGGTTGCTCTGTCTGGTACAAACCAGACATTGTGGCTCTGACTGCCATGGCCATGCGCCCTCTCAAGGCTGGGCCTCTGGTAGGCCGGGCACTGCTGCCTCTCGGCCCAGGCCGGGCGGCCGTACGCGGATGGAACCGAGGGCCTGGAAGAGCCGAGAGCGCATCCCCGGTGTGGTCCCGGACAGTGAGAGGGGAGTCTGGGAGAGGCTGAGCACCGTGGATGTTTGTTGTATTTAACGGCAGGAACCGGGAAGTGGGCAGCTGCGTTTAAGTAAAAGCGCACCTGCCGCCGCTGCCTGTGCGCTGCCGGCCTCCCCACGTGCTCGTGTCTTCCAGATTTTCGAGAGGATCCTGTTCATATGGGCCATCAGGCACCCCGCCAGCGGCTACGTCCAGGGCATCAACGACCTGGTCACCCCCTTCTTCGTGGTCTTCGTCGGCGAGCACGTGGGTAAGAGCGCGGCCTGGCCTCGCCTCGGGCCGGACCCCGGACCCCTGGCCTCTCGGGGGGAGGGGGGGTGGCGGCACATGAGAATCGCTGCTGCGCATGGTGTCGCGCAGGCGAGTGCAGCAGGAGCGTGGTTTCCCGCCCCCGAGGCCAGGGGCCGCGGCCACTGTCGGCGCCTTGTTTGTGGTGACGCGAGAGGGGAGCACAGTCCACCCGAGGGTCTCGCTCTTGGTGTCAGCATCGGCTCCGTGTGCGGCTGTGAGCTGCGGGGGGGGGGGGGGGGGGGGAGGTATTAGTGGTGTGACTGTGGGAGGTGGGGGATACTAGCAGGTGTGACTGTGTGTTGGGGGAGCTGTCCCCTAGGGCAGTGGTCGGCAAACTCACTAACCAACAGAGACAGATAACAACAGTATAGCAATTGAAATTTCTTTGGAGAGCCAAAGTTTTTAAACTTGAACTTCTTCTAATGCCACTTCTTCAAAAGAGACTCGCCCAGGCCGTGGTATTTTGTGCAAGAGACATAGTCAAGGGGCCAAAGAGCCGCATGTGGCTTGCGAGCTGTGGTTTGCCGACCACGGCACCAGTGGGCTGCTTTGCTTACGAGGTAAAGACGACCGTCTTGGATTGCATCTGCACATCCCACCGCCTCTGCCTCTGCCGCCCACGGTGCCCGCTGGGGGCTGCTGTGTGAGTTACGTGCGGGATGGTGGGCTGACGGAGGTCGGGGCGTGGGCTGCTGGTGAGTCCGCGCGTGCGCCTTCCATCCGTGACCTCAGGCGAGTGCAGGCAGCTTTGTGCGGTGAACACGGTTCACGTGTAAAGGCTCCGATGTGCCGTGTGCGGGCGCACTGTTAACTGCCTGCGGGCAGGCTGGCCCCCTGGCTGCAGCCTTTCTGTTGGCCGCGGCTGCAGCTGTCTCTGTGGGATCCTCCGTCCCGTGTTCGCTTGTTGTTGTTACATATTTCTGGCCGATTTCGTGCCCAGTGGGTCCCGTCCCCGCAGCCAGAGCCGCCGGCTTATGGGAGGTTGGCTGTCCGAGGAGGACGGGACTCGGTTAGGGCTCATCATTGAGCCCCTGGCTCCTCATCCCCCGCCTCGGGAGCGGCCGCAGGAGGCCGGCCTGCCCTCCACTCTGCCGGGACGGCAGCTCTGAATGCGCCGATCAGGGGCCCTGTCAGCAGACGCCAGGGCTGCTAACGAGGAGAGCAGCGGAGATGTGATGGAGAACTGGTGCTCCGTGTTAACCAGGCCAGAATTAACGTGGTAAACAAGTGCGTCCTAACGGGTTGGCCCTATCACCCTCGAGGCCCAGCGGTCCTGAGCGCGCTGCTGGCTTTGCACTGGGACGGGCGGGGGGCGGGCCGTGGTGCTGATGCTGCAGGAGAGCAGCTGAGACGGGAGAGCGCGGAGCATCTGCCCCGGGGCCGGGCTGGCGGTGGAGGCCGCTGAGGGGTGGGTGCCCAGAGCCGCGGGGACTGGGCTGGTGGGCTCGTCCTGCCCCCAATGTTCCGGCCACGAGGCTGGGTTGAGTTTGGCTCCGGGACCTGACGTGGCTGCCCGCCTGCAGGTGGAGGCTCTGTGGGAGGAGCCTGGACCTCGGCAGGCAGGCTGCACCCACTGCTGAGGGCCCCGTGCTGGGATGCAGCTCCGCAGCCCCCAGGTCAGGCCACTCTGCCCAGCTGCGGGGGTCTTTGGGGGTCTATGGGGGTTTATAGGGGCCTGCGGGGCCTGCCTCTCTGGCTGCTGTTCGGCTGAGTGAGTGTGGACAGGAGGTGTGCAGAGCCACGTGCCAGGTGCGAGGAGTGAGCAGGTGCTGCCGTGGGCACTGACGTGTGCCTGGCGTCTTGGCCCTGGCGCTCCTGCACAGAAAAGGCAGCCCGGGCCTCCCCCAGGTGTGAAGGGCACAGGGCCGGAGGCCACATGCATGTCAGCTGAGCGCTGTTCTCGCATCTTCCCCACCTGCCCTCATGGGCCCCTGCCCCCGGCGGGTCTGCGGGCCCTCCTGGCTCGGAGGCCGGGGAGGGGGGTCTAGAGACAGGACAGGGAGTCCCAGGATCCAGTGTACAAGGGAGGGGCGGCGGGCAGTGTGCGGGGCCACAGGCGTGCGGCTGGAACTTGCCCGAGTGCCTGCCGTTGTGACCGGCCAGACATGGGCACAGCGTGTGCAGGTTCAGCGTGAGCCCCTCCTGGGGCAGCTGCGGGGACACGGACAGTGGATGGAGTGGCCGCAGGCCCTCACACTGAGCTTCTGCGTGTGCCTGACCGGAACTAACGCGGTGCCTTAGTTCCCCGCGTACAGCATCGAGGCTGGAAACTGCTCCCGTGAGCCGGTCCCCACGCCCGCGCAGTTCACCTCTGTCTCCAGAGAGGGGCGCGCTTCCCCCTCCTCCTGGTGGGAACGCTCCATAGCGCCTCTGGGCAGCTCTCAGAGGTGCGCCCGGCGTCCTTAGCCCCAGTCCCCGAGCTCACATCACCATGATGCACGGATGGGCCTGCGTCTGTGCCCGTGACCCTGCCGGCCCAGCTCCTGTGCAGAACTCTGTTCCGGAGTTAGCGGGTGGTAGGAGCCCATGCCCTCTCCCCGGCGGCAAGGTCGTCCTGGTCTGCCTTCGGGCTCCTCTGCGCCCCGCCAAGCCCCCGCTACGGGGACTCCTGGGGCAGCTTAGTGAGCGGGTCTGTACGGGCAGCTCCGTGGAGGGGAGAGCGGCGGGCTTGGGAGTGTCATCGCAGCGCAGCCATCACCGCCGTTAACGTGAGTGTTTTCATGTCGGCGGAGGAACTGCAGACCCAGGAGCGGTCACTGCCCGCTTCCCCGCCCCGGCAGCCACCGGCTCCTTTTGCCCGCAGCTCACGTGAGTGACTCGTGCGGTACCCATCCATGTCGGAGCGTGTCAGTGCCTCAGCCCCTTCATGGCCAGCTAGCACTTCATTGCACGCACAGACCACATTCCCAGACCCGCTCATGCGGGGAAGGGCGCTGCTCTCTGGGCTCTGTGGTTGCTGGGATGCCGCTGCCAAGGACGTGGGCTCAGTCCGTGAGGACATGGTGTCCTCTCTCGGCACGCACCCAGCAGTGGATTGCTGGGCCTCACGGCAGCTCCATGTGTCACTGTTTGGTGGACTGCAGACTCTGTCAGCGTGGCCACGTGGGCACTCCTGGGGAACGACGCTGCTGTGCCGTGTTCCCGCTACGTGGATTTCCGTGTGTGGTATTTGTGTAGTCCAGAGCATATCGTGTCTAAAAGTCTGCCTTGTTCCCGGTTAACCTCGTAGCATAGGCTCGCCCTGTGTCTTTAAGGAGTCTTTGTCAAGGTCATGCTGGTCCTCACGCGGCCTTCTGTGCAGGTGATGTAGCCTGATTTGTGAAGCCAGTCCACTGGTGAGCAATTTTGAGGTACCCCTTCCCCCCGCAGGGTGTGATGTAATTTCTAAGCAAAGCCAGTATTTTTCTAACAGTGACTGTCATATTCCTTTTAACAATGTTAAATTCATCTTAAAAATAAGAAACACTATTCCGTCACCTTGAATTGCACAGTTTAAGCAGAGCGTTATGTTTTAGTTTTACTAAATATTTTCACGTATAAAAACGAAGCACCCCATCCTCTATTGAAATTCAGACTCAGTTCTAGGCACTTTGGACCCACACCCTCGGAGACGACGTGGGCGGGGCCATGGGAGGCGGGATGACGAGTGGGAAGGTGGGGGGTGTTTACCATCCACGCTCATTACTGCACGTGTGCGGTCAGGTGTGCTTTTCTGTGTCATTTTATCTTAAAATAATTACTTAAAAATGTCTTTTTAAGAAGGAGTGACACACCACCCCCATGAGAGGGAGGAAAGCTAGGTAGAAGCTCACCAAGGAGCCAGAGGAAGACTGAGCCGAGCAGAAACCAGCTGGACCGGTCCACAGGGCCCGCCCCGCACGGCCGCTCCTCTCAGCGCCCGCACCGGCCCATGCTGGCCCCGGAGGCAGCCCTGCACACGCGGGGGGAAGGCATGCGCAGGGTGTCCTCTGGCCACAGGGAATGAAGGAAAGTCGGAGACCTTGACAAATATTGAAAATTGTAGAACACACCCGAAGCATCCTGTTAGAGAAGAAAGTGGAAGGGCAGTTAGAGATCACTTTGAAGTGAATGGAAATAAAAACACAGCATACCACAACTACGGGCTGCAGCTGACGCGGAGCTCCAAGGGAAGTTATAGTCACTGACTGTGCCAGAAAGAACAGCTCAGGTCATTGACTCTTCAGTTTCATGAACTAGAAAGAGAAAAACAGACTAAAGCCCAGACAGACAGCAGGCAGGAGATGAATCAGGAAAGAGAAGAACAACAGAGAAACCAGTAAAACCAAAGATGGTTCTTCACGAATCTCAGGGAAGCGGACAAACCTTGACCTGGACGGACCCTGAAGGAAGGCGCACTTGGGTCCCGGAGGGAGAAGGAGCGGCGTGAGGGCGGGCAGAGCAGCGTGAGGGAGGTTGAGGAAGGGTCGTTCTCGCCGGAGGACGCAGTCCCCCAGTCGCCAGGCTGTGGAGCCTGGGTTTGCCGGGCCCCAGGCCGGCCCCTCTGTGAGGGTCACCTTCGCGGTGACGCACTGGAAGGACTGCCTGTGTGTGAAGCACGCTGCCTGCGCGGGTGGCCCTCTCGAAGGGTTGGCAGCCCTCAGAGCAGAGACTGCGATTCCCTGGGGAAGGAGAAAAATTCCTCCCGGCCAGAACCCAGCCGGGGTCCCCTGCTTGCTGGCCTGTCCTCAAATCTCAGCCTCACCAGTCCCCTAACCGGGACCGTCCCTCACAGTAAGTCTCTCTCAGCACATGTGTGCACAGCCTGTCATACCAGCGTCTGTGTGGGCAGATGCGGGAGCAGTGAGGGCAGAGGAAGAGTTCCCGCAGAGAAAAGCTCAGGACCGGACGACCTCACTGGTGAGTCCTGCCAAGCACCTGACAAAGACCCAGCAGCTCCCTCACACATTCCTCCAAAACAGGGGCGGTGGGAGCTTCCAGTTTATTCTCCGGCCAGACCGCCGGCCACGGAGAGACCTCCCCAGGAGGAGGACGCAGAGGATCGCCTTAGGGAGGTCCTCACCATCCCCTGGAGCAGCAGCGCAGCAGGGGTGAGGCACCCCTCCGGACGGGGCATCCCAGGAAGGCAAGGTGGATTGACAAATCAAAGTCCATGAGTGCAGCGCACTAGGCCATTCACAGAATGAGGGAAGACACACATAATCATCTCAGTTGATGGGCATTTGACAAAACCTAGCACTCTTTCATGAAAAAACAAACATTCAACAAACTAGGCCTAGAAAAGCTTGCTCCTGTAAAGTGTCCGTGGAAAACTCACAGTGAACATCGCACTGAAGGGAGGACGGAGAGCTCTCCCTCAGCATGTCGGTTCTTGCCGCCTGTCCAGCGTGGCGCTGCTCCGGCCGGGCGCCAAGCAGAGGAAGCGCGGCGCCCAGCAGGGGGCGCGGCGGGGTCTGTCTGCAGAGCACCCAGAGGACCCAGGACAGCCGGGAAGGCTAATATACAATGGCAGCAAGCCGGGAGGACTCCAGACCCAGGTGTTACACTGGTTGTGTTTTTCTGCACTTGCAGTGTGCAGTCTGAAAATGAGATTGTGAAAACGATTCCATTTATAATGGCATCAAATTAACTAGGTACACGTTTAGCCAGAAAAGTGTAAGATTTGTCTTCCCCAAACCAGAAAGTGTGGTTGCATGGAGTTACGGGAGCTCTGAGTGAGGGGGGACATCGTGTCCGTGGCGGGGGAGGTGGAAAGTGTGGACGGCAGTCTTCCCGGAGTGACTCGCCGCCGTCCCGGTCAGTTCCGTCCCCGGCTTCGCAGCAGGAATGGGCAGGTTTGTCTGTGATTCATACGGAAACGCAAGGAATCGGAGCAGCCAGACGACCTACTGCCGAGCTGCTGTCACCGAGCAAGCGCACTCTCCGTGGACAGATGCGCGGCTGGCGGAGCAGCAGGAGGTGTGTGGCATGGATCTTCATCTCAGGGCGATTGCTTTGACTCAGGGGTGAGGTGGTCTTTTTCAACGAGCAGTGCTGGGACAGATAGGTGCCGACACACAAACACCCAACGTTCCATCCGTGCGTCCACAGCAGCCGGGTGGACCAGACGGATGTCAGAGCTGACCCCGGCCCTCCTGTCAGGTGCACGGGCCAGTCTGCAGCCTGGGCGAGGCGTGGCTTCGGAGATGTGACACCGAAGGCAAAGTGACGGAAGGACAGGCCCACGGCGCCGAATGCGCACTCCCTCCATGCTGCGAGGCCTGCGCTGCCCTTTCTGTGCAGGAGCCCCGGTCTTTGAAGCCGGCGCCGCCAGGAAAGGCAGCAGTGCTGGCAGTGACTGGGTTAACAGGAAAGGCAGCAGTGCTGGCAATGACTGGGTTTAGCAGTGACGCAGTGTGCCCAGGCGGAGGAGGCTGTGAGAGGTTCCCTCTGGGCGGTGCCCCCAGTGCTCAGTTAGCCCCAGGCTGCTGAGGCCCCGCCCTCACCCCTGGAATGCACTAGCACATGCCGCCTGGGCGTGGCAGAGGCGGGGATGGATGGAGGGAAGGTGCCACAGTCCCCCCCACCCCCCCGTGCCTGCCCCTGTTGTCAGTTCTCACGTTGAAGTATCTGCTGGTCAGCATCCGCTGCTGGCTCTGCGGCAGCCCCGCCCAGGCGGGGGCAGGGCCCGCACACTGAGCCCTGGACGCTGACACGGCCCTGCCCGCCCGTGAGGGCCCGATGGCAGACACACTGTTCACATTCTTTTGGCATAAATTATAAAAATGCTCCCGAGTGTGACGGCCAATTGAGAAGGAAATGCCTGGCCCGGAAGGTGAGGGACCCTCCCGGGACCCTCCAGGGAGCGTTGGACCAGGCTGGCAGCGAAGGGGTTAGCCTGCAGTATTTTATTGAACCACAAAACCCTATTTATAACCCATGTCAGGAGCAATTAAACTGATTGATGATTAAGAAAGTTTAATAGTTGACTAATAAGATGCGGTCTTGACAGCCATTTCTCCTCATTTGGAAGCACGCTTGTGCGTTAATAACGGCGTGAAGGATGGGCCGCGGGACCTGCCGGGGGTGACGCGCTGCGACACTGCTCTGTTCGGTGCTGCGCCGCGTGCTCCTTATGAAAAATTAAAATGCCAATTACGGCCTTTTGATTTATTATCGAAGCGGCTTGTTAATGTTGACTTACTGCAAGCAGGGTTAATTAGTACCTATCGACGTATCTGATTAAAGCACGCGGAGTGGGGGCGCGCAGAGAAGGTCAGGCAGCCTGAGTGACCGCCGGCCGCTCCCGACGCGGCAGGACTCGCCTCGCCCCCGCGTCCCTGAGGCGGCCACCCCGCCCGGCCGTGCGAGCTCCGGGCGGCGCTGCCCACAGCACGCTGCCCGCCCCGCCCGCAGCACCCCGCCTGCAGCACCCTGCCTGCCCCGCCCGCAGCACTCCGCCCGCAGCACCCTGCCTGCCCCGCCCGCAGCACTCCGCCCGCAGCACCCTGCCCGCAGCACCCCGCCCGCAGCACCCTGCCCACAGCACCCTGCCCGCCCCACCCGCAGCACCCCGCCCGCAGCACCCCGCCCGCAGCACCCTGCCCGCAGCACCCCGCCCGCAGCACCCTGCCCGCAGCACCCTGCCCGCCCCGCCCGCAGCACCCTGCCCGCAGCACCCTGCCTGCAGCACCCTGCCCACCCTGCCCGCAGCACGCTGCCCGCAGCACCCTGCCCACAGCACGCTGCCCACAGCACCCTGCCCGCCCCGCCCTCAGCACCCTGCCGCCCTGCCAAGGGGCTGGAGGCGGCGGCAGTTTCACCTTTAAGAGCCATTTCCTATCTCTGTGAAGAGCGAATGGATGGTTAAACCTTCTTTTGGAAACAAGCAGAGATGTTATAAAGCAGAGAACATGAGTGGATACTAAACTTAAAAAGAAAAGCCCAGCTAGGTCATAATGAGGGAAATGCCAATGGAGCCAATAACGGGGTTCTGTTTTGTCTGCCAGATTAGCAAAGGTGAAACCGGTGTGGCTCAGTGGATAGAGTGTTGGTCTGTGGACTCAAGGGTCCCAGGTTCGATTCCGGTCAAGGGCATGTACATTGGTTGCGGGCACATCCCCGGTGGGGGGCGTAGAGGAGGCAGCTGGTCGATGTTTCTCTCTCATGGATGTTTCTAGCTCTCTGTCCCTCTCTCTCCCTCTCTGAAAAAAGTCAATAAAATATATTAAGAAAAGAAAGAAAGCAAAAGGACGACCCTCGGTGCCTTCCAGGAGACTGAGCTCCTCCCCCACCCCCCCTTCCGGGGCTCAGTCTCCTGGAAGGGTCCGGCGCCTTCTCTGTGCTCCTGGGGCGGTGGCTCTCAGAGGAGGCTCTGGTGGGACATACACGGTTCCGTAAACATACTTCGTGGGCGTGACAGCGACCGTAATAAAAGCAGGAAGGCCTCTGCCTGCACCTCAGTGCTGGCTGGTCAGGCTGTCTGTGGCCCGGCTGGCGGCTCAGGGGCTGAGCATGGACCTGTGAACCAGGAGGTCTCAGTTCGATTCCCGGTCAGGGCACACACCGGGTTGTGGGCTCGATCCCCAGTGTGGGGCGGGCAGGAGGCAGCTGATCCATGATTCTCTCTCCTCTTTGGTGTTTCCGTCTCTCCCGCTCCCTTCCTCTCTGACATTAATAACAAGAAAAAAAGTGTGCGCACATGAATGTTATCCGCTGACTTCTACCCCCCAGCTCAGTGCTGGAGTGCCCCCCGCCTCAGCACGTGGCTGTGTTTGGGTAGTTACAGGGTGACCAAGGCACCTGCGGTCACGAGGGTGGGCCCGGCCCAGCGTGACTGTTGTCCACGTAGATCAGCACAGACACACACGGCTGGTGTGGAATCCCTGGGAGAGGCATGCTGCACGCCGTGCCCCACGCAGGCCCCGGGCCTGGCTTGCGCTTTGCAGCCCACACGGGGGAGCACAGCCCGAGTCTGAGGCGTCCCCTCTGCCCGCCCCCACCCTGCTGTCCTCGGCCCCTCTGACCCGACACTTACGTTTTCAGATTTAGACTTGTTTTCCTCGCAAAGATGCCTTGCACAATTGCAAAGTAAAACAGAAGCCAATTAAATGAAAAAACAGGATGTGCCATTTTTTAGATCCTCTGAGTATCACGCTGGAGGGGAGCGTTTTTATAAGGACCTGAAATTAGTGTGTCCAGACGCCGGCCATCTCAGTGAGGCATCTGTTGTGCGTCTTTTGACTTTTAAGTGGTGTTTCCTCATCAGGTTTCACACTGGAGGGACATCGCGGGGTCTCGTAGCTTCTCTCGCAGGCGCCTGCGCGGCTGCCTTCTTGGATCTTTGCTTGTCAATCCGGGGATTTACCTGCCGTGGCCCTGGAAACGGGTCTTGGGGGATTATCGCTGAGCGCGTGTGGAATATCTGAGAACCGGGCTTGAAAGGGTTACGGAGCACTCGGACCTCCGTGAGGAATAAGAAATCCGTGCGGGCTTTCTCTCATTAGAATGTGCATTGCCGGAGAAGCATCCATTTGTAATGTATTAATTATGTTAATTAACTGGAGAGGATTCAGAATATTAATCGTCTGCATCTGATTAGGTATCAGAATGGAGGAGCACTAAGTGATGAGGGAAGAGACGTGACTCTCCTCCTTCGATCAGGAGGAATGGGCCTGGCCGGGTGCCAGCAGAGCAGCCGCTGCTGCTCCGCGTGTCCTTGTCCCGTGGCCGTGGCCGTGGCCATGGCCGTGTCCCCGGCTAACTCGTGTCTTTCCCACGCTCTGCAGAGGAGGAGGACGTGGACATCGCCGACGTGTCCCGTGTGCCTGCAGACGTGCTGCGTAACGTGGAGGCCGACACGTACTGGTGCACGAGCCGGCTGCTGGACGGCATCCAGGTGAGCCGGCTGGGGCGTCCCCCCACCCCCAGCTCTCTGCCCCACGTGAGTTCCGCAGAGAGCGGCGGGAGAGTGCCCACGTGCACAGGGGGAGGAGGGAGAGTGCCCCACGTGCACAGGGGGAGGCGGGAGAGTGCCCCACGTGCACAGGGAGCGGCGGGAGAGTGCCCACGTGCACAGGGAGCGGCGGAGTGTGCCCCACGTGCGCAGGGAGCGGCGGAGTGTGCCCAAGTGCACAGGGAGCGGCGGAGTGTGCCCACGTGCACAGGGAGAGGCGGATTGTGCCCACGTGCACAGGGAGCGGCGGAGTGTGCCCCACGTGCGCAGGGAGAGGCAGAGTGTGCCCCACGTGCACAGGGAGAGGTGGGAGAGTGCCCACATGCACAGGGAGCAGCGGAGTGTGCCCCACGTGCACAGGGAGAGGCGGAGTGTGCCCACGTGCACAGGGAGCGGCGGGAGGGTGCCCACGTGCACAGGGAGCGGCGGGAGGGTGCCCACGTGCACAGGGAGAGGCGGATTGTGCCCACGTGCACAGGGGGAGGCGGGAGAGTGCCCACGTGCACAGGGAGCGGCGGAGTGTGCCCACGTGCACAGGGAGAGGCGGATTGTGCCCACGTGCACAGGGAGCGGCGGAGTGTGCCCCACGTGCGCAGGGAGAGGCGGAGTGTGCCCACGTGCACAGGGAGAGGCTGGAGAGTGCCCCACGTGCACAGGGAGAGGCGGAGTGTGCCCCACGTGCACAGGGAGAGGCGGAGTGTGCCCACATGCACAGGGAGAGGCGGAGTGTGCCCCACGTGCACAGGGAGCGGCGGAGTGTGCCCCACGTGCACAGGGAGCGGCGGGAGAGTGCCCACGTGCACAGGGTGCGGCGGAGTGTGCCCACGTGCACAGGGAGCGGCGGAGTGTGCCCACGTGCACAGGGAGAGGTGGAGTGTGCCCACGTGCACAGGGAGCGGCGGAGTGTGCCCCACGTGCACAGGGAGCGGCGGAGTGTGCCCCACGTGCACAGGGAGCGGCGGGAGAGTGCCCACGTGCACAGGGAGCGGCGGAGTGTGCCCCACGTGCACAGGGAGCGGCGGAGTGTGCCCCACGTGCACAGGGAGCGGCGGGAGAGTGCCCACGTGCACAGGGGGAGGCGGGAGAGTGCCCACGTGCACAGGGAGCGGCGGAGTGTGCCCACGTGCACAGGGGGAGGCGGGAGAGTGCCCACGTGCACAGGGAGCGGCGGAGTGTGCCCACGTGCACAGGGAGCGGCGGAGTGTGCCCCACGTGCGCAGGGAGAGGCGGAGTGTGCCCACGTGCACAGGGAGAGGCTGGAGAGTGCCCAAGTGCACAGGGAGCGGCGGAGTGTGCCCCACGTGCACAGGGAGCGGCGGAGTGTGCCCCACGTGCACAGGGAGCGGCGGAGTGTGCCCCACGTGCACAGGGAGCGGCGGAGTGTGCCCACGTGCACAGGGGGAGGCGGGAGAGTGCCCCACGTGCACAGGGGGAGGCGGGAGAGTGCCCCACGTGCACAGGGAGAGGCGGATTGTGCCCACGTGCACAGGGAGCGGCGGAGTGTGCCCCACGTGCGCAGGGAGAGGCGGAGTGTGCCCACGTGCACAGGGAGAGGCTGGAGAGTGCCCCACGTGCACAGGGAGAGGCGGAGTGTGCCCACGTGCACAGGGAGCGGCGGAGTGTGCCCCACGTGCACAGGGAGCGGCGGAGTGTGCCCCACGTGCACAGGGAGCGGCGGAGTGTGCCCCACGTGCACAGGGAGAGGCGGAGTGTGCCCCACGTGCACAGGGAGAGGCGGAGTGTGCCCCACGTGCACAGGGAGCGGCGGAGTGTGCCCCATGTGCACAGGGAGAGGCGGAGTGTGCCCACGTGCATAGGGAGAGGCCGAGTGTGCCCCACGTGCACAGGGAGAGGCGGAGTGTGCCCCATGTGCACAGGGAGTGGCGGGAGAGTGCCCCACGTGCACAGGGGGAGGCGGGAGAGTGCCCACGTGCACAGGGAGCGGCGGAGTGTGCCCACGTGCACAGGGAGAAGTGGAGTGTGCCCCACGTGCACAGGGAGAGGCGGAGTGTGCCCACGTGCACAGGGAGAGGCCGAGTGTGCCCCACGTGCACAGGGAGAGGCGGAGTGTGCCCCATGTGCACAGGGAGTGGCGGGAGAGTGCCCCACGTGCACAGGGGGAGGCGGGAGAGTGCCCACGTGCACAGGGAGCGGCGGAGTGTGCCCCACGTGCGCAGGGAGAGGCGGAGTGTGCCCCACGTGCGCAGGGAGAGGTGGGAGAGTCCCACGTGCACAGGGGGAGGCGGAGTGTGCCCCACGTGTGGTCCCCAGGGAGAGATGGGAGTGGTCCCCATCTGCGGTCTACAGGAGCAGGGAGAGACGCACAGGGAGGCCTCGGGGAGGAAGCCTGGACAGCAGGCCGGGACGGGGCGGAGTGGACGCTGCAGAACGTCCCTCAGGCACAGCCTGTGCGCCAGCCGCTGCAGATGGTGCCCGTGGGGGGAGAGCGCTGGCGCAGGGAGCCTGGAGAGGTGCCCGCTCCAAAAGCCGCTCCCTGGCGCTGGGGACCCTCCAAAGCCACTGGGACATGGGAGCCTGGGCCAGCCCAGACCTCACCTCCATCTCAGCTGGAAGAGGGGCCCAGGGGCTGCTCAGTGCTGGGAGGTGCCGCCAGGCGGCCCGGGCCCTGATGGGGCCTGCTGGTGCAGCCAGCGTGGCGGGAGCAGCGTGCCTGGCGCCCGTGTGGGCGGAGAGGGCGAGGGAGCAGGCTGCCCCCCCTCGTGCGCCGAGTCCCGCTCGGTGGGGAGAGCCAGGGAGCCAAGATCGCAGCCCCGGTCGATACATTGACCGCTCCTGGAAGCATCGCACAAGGTTATTAAACTGAATGTCAGGTCCTGCGGCTGCAGCAGAGGGTTCATTAAGAATGAGTCATTGAGCAGCAGCTCAGAACTGAAAATGGAAAAAGACTCAATTTACAGCAGCGTCGAGAAACGTAAAATCCATGCTGGTGCCCCAGCGAATAGTCCATTCCTCTTAATTACCACAGCCTCCAAGACGGCCTCTGCCCCCGGCCCGGCCGTCTGTCCGTCCGGCTCTGGCATGGAGTTTCTGCCGTCCGAGCGCCTGTCCTCTTGGCACGAGTCCCCTTCCCGGGTCAGTCCCTGAGGGCCTGCCGGATCGTGCTGTAGGAGAACAGTCCGTTTTCATACAAAAACAGCCGGGGCGCCCCTCTTCCCCCCCCCCCCCACCGGTGGTGCTATTTCCACACCCGACAGCGGGCGTGGTCTGGCATGTTCTCCCTGCGGAGCGGCCTTTCACAGCCGGGGTTTGACAGGTCTCCCGGGGTGCGGCGGGCCAGCTCATGCTTCAGCCAGTGCTCCCTGCTGAGCAGAGCCTTCCTCGTCTCAGGAAGGAGCTGGCCGTGAAGGCTCTTTCCCGCGGGAGAGCAGGCGGGAGAGGGTCCCACAGGTGGGTCTGCGCTGGAAGCTCATGCGCGACCACCTACCGGACCGGGCGGCAGGGTTGCTGGGAGCCGGGCGGCGGGGTTGCTGGGAGCCGGGCGGTGGGGTTGCTGGGAGCCGGGTGGCAGGGTTGCTGGGAGCTGGGCAGCGGGTTGTGGCCCGGATTGGGTCGGCATGGGCAGCCACGCACCGGGCAGAGGGAGAGCGGCTCCCCCGGGCACTGGCCCGCAGGCCGTGGCTGGCGTGCCCCTCTGAGAAGCACCAGGGCCTGCCGGCCAAGAGGAGGGTCGGCCTCACCCCGGGCCGTGGCGGGGAAGACATGTCCAGCAGCGGAAGCAGTCCCCAGGGTGGGCAGTGGGATCCTCTTCTGTCCCGTCACCTCTGGCGCGTGGAGGTCCATTGCTGCAGGCGGCCAGCTGCCGCCTCGTTCTGAGCATGCCCGAGCGCTGGCTGAGCCGTGGCCGGGGCCGTGGCGTGGGGTGGGCAGCAGGGGGACGGGGTGCCGTGCCCTCGAGCCGAGCTGGGCCCAGGGCAGTGGCAGTGCTGGGTGTGGGACCGTTTGCCAGGCCGCGGCGGGGACCGGGGGCAGCCCCGTTCTCCCAGGCACACACGGCGGGAGCCGAGGATGGCGCAGCACCCGGCCAGCCCCGTCTGACCTGAGGCCCCGGGGCCTAACCCGGTGCTCCTGTCCCCGTCTGTGTCGCACCCGCGTTCACTGGGGGGTGGCCACCCACTCACTCTACCCTCGGATTGTTAGCTGACGTGGCACTGCCAGCACCGGGCCGGTCGCCATCGACGTGGCTGTGCCGAGTGCCGTCTGCTTCCAGCGGGCACTTCCTGAAGGAGCACTTCCTGAAGGAGCACTTCCTGAAGGAGCGGCACCTCAGTGCCCGAGTGTCCCTGTCGGCGTGTCTCCCGCTCGAGGGACAGACGCTGCACTCGCTGCTCCTGGGACGGGTGCCGCCTCTGACATCAGGCGGCTGGACCTCCTCGGATCGCCCTCCCGGCACTGCCAGGGTGTGTGCAGCCTGGCACCCGGACACGTGTGCCCCGCGCCCCCTCTGGAGGCAGCGTGCTGTGGTGTGACCATCGCTGTTCTCCCTCAGGACAACTACACCTTCGCCCAGCCCGGGATCCAGCTGAAAGTGCGGATGCTGGAGGAACTCGTGAGCCGCATCGACGGTGAGCCAGCCCAGCCCAGCCCAGCCCAGCCTCTGTGGGCGCGGAGGTGGCTGTGGCGCCTGGGACTGCCCTGCAGGGGAGGGGGCTCCTCGCCCAGCGCAGGGCCCACTGGCCTGGCAGCACTGGGCCTGGCAGCGTGCGTCCCCGAGGCCCCCTGGGGGGGCAGCCCCCTCTGAGGGACAGAACCAGAGCGGTCCTGTGAGGGAGTCGGGAGTGGGCAGCCCTCACTCTGGAGCCGGCTGCCTCCGCCTTGTGATGCGTGTGCTCTGCATCCTGGGCCTCCGCGCTCTCCCCGTGCTCGGGGCTGTCAGTCAGGGGTGCTGGTTTCTCACGGGTCCAGTCACGGGTCTAGAAATGGCCCCTCTCTCCCACGTCCCGGAGAAATCAGGGTGTGCTCAGGCCGCCCTGGGCTGTGCTTGCTGTGTAGGAGGGGGTGGGGGCTGCCCAAGGCTGGCTCCTCACCCTGGAGTGACCGCCCTGCTGGCGTCATGCGGGACGGGTCTGGTGAGGAGTCTCGGCGGCAACAAGCGCTGAGCAGGGACCTGGGAGGGTCGCCTGGAGGAGAAGCCGCTCTGTCGTGAGCTGGGGCAGCCTGGCCCTCCCGCTCAGGCGGGGCAGGAAGCACCGGTGGGCGCAGGCCTGCGGTGCGGCTCGGAGCCTTAGGACCCCCTCGCAAAGCCAAGTCCCACAGCTCCCCTGTCACCCGAGGCCTCGGTCAGGCTGTGGCCCCATCAGCAAGGGCGGCGTGTGCTGGGAGCGCGGCTGTGGCCCTCCCTGCGCCCACCCCGAGCGTCCCGCCCATCTGAGCCGGTTCCCAGCTTCCCTCCCGAGCGGGTGGACAGGGGCTTGTTGTCCACCCGCGGGGTCGTTCCCCACCTCCCTCCGGCTGGCCTCCGGGGAGGACGGGTGCGCGGGGCGCTGGGTGGGTGTTGGGGTGTCCCGGCTGGAGTGGAGGGGCGCAGACAGGCACTGTGCGGAGCAGTGGCCGTGGGCGCCGCACCCAGGCCTGCCCGGCCCTGGCATAAAGCTCGTTCAGAACAGCGGCCTCTCAGGTGGTTCCGCCTCCCTCCTCCCCGCTGTCCTCCTCCCCTTCATTCTCCTCCCCGCCTCCCTCCTCCCTCTCCCCCCCCCCTCCTTCCCATCCCCTCTTCCCTGCCATCCTTCTCCTCCTTCCCAGTCATTCTCCTGACCCCCCTCCTCCCCAACTCCTTCCATCCTCCCTCTTCCCAGCCTTCCTCCTTCCCTTCTCCCCACCCTTCTCCCCCTGCCCCCTCCCTAGCTCCCTCCACATCTCCCTCCTCCCAGCCCGCTCTGGCCTGGGGCGCCTCATGCTCAGGGAGGGCCGAGCGAGCAGGGCAGGGCCGGCCCCTGGGTGCGGTAGCTGTCTGCACCGTGGCCTGTCCCTCCGGGCCCTCGGCACGGCTCTGGGCGCCTGCGCCGGCAGGAGGCCAGGCGACCCCCGCTCAGGACAGAGCGGCTTCTCCTCCAGACACCCTCCCAGGCCCGTGCTCAGCGCTTATTGCCGCCCAGACTCCTCAGCCAGCCAAGGAGACTGCCACGTGCGGCCGCTCCCCTCGGCCTGGGGGAGGCAGCCCCAGAAACATCGCGTGGTCCCGGGCCGTGGGCACGCCAGTGGCCGTGCTGCGAGCCTCGTGGCACATGGCGAGCTGCTCCCGTCTCCTCGCTTCTCCCTCGGGAGGCAGAGCGGGCCCTGCCGGCCGCGCCTTCTGTCCCCCACCCGGAGCCCCCTGCGGTCGCCCGTCCGCGCCGCCCGCCTCTCCAGCGTGTTGGCCACGTGTGGACTTCCTGGGAGGGGACGCCCGGGCCCGGCGAGGAGGCGGGTCTGTGACTCGGAGGCCTCAGCCCCTCCCTCCGCTCAGTGGGAGCACGACCTGCTTCGCGGGGCAGCCCCCTTCTCAGGTCACCGTGATGACGGGGCCACCGCCCTGGGACGGCCCCGGTTTCCAGAGGGCCCCCCCAGCCTCTCAGCTGGCTGCTGACCGCTCGCCGGCAGGGGCCTGGGCGGGGCGCGGGGACTCGGGCCGTGGGGCCCACTGCAGCCGCCGAGGACGAGCGCTTGTCCCCGATGGGAGGCTGTGCGGCTGGTAACCGGCCCTCCTCAGGCCCCAGCCGTCCCCCCGGAGCCCAGGGCGGGGCCGTGCCCCTTGGCGCCCAGCCTGGTCTGGAGCACTCCGCGGGAGGTGGCGAGCTCCCCTCTCCTCTCAGCCCCTCCACCTCCAGCCTGGCCTGCGAGGAGAGGGCCTGTGCCCGTGCACGGCTGTCCGTGTCCTGCCGGTGTGAGGCGTGGCTTCCCCAGGCCCTGTGGTGTTTGAGGGGGGTGCAGAGGGGGCGCAGGCGGGGAGGGCGCAGGCGGGGAGGGCGCAGGCGGGGAGGGCGCAGGCGAGAGGGCAGAGCGAGGGCTCCTGACGCGGCCTGTCTGTCCGCAGAGCAAGTGCACCGGCATCTGGAGCAGCACGAGGTGCGGTACCTGCAGTTCGCCTTCCGCTGGATGAACAACCTCCTCATGCGGGAGGTGCCCCTGCGCTGCACCGTCCGCCTGTGGGACACCTACCAGGTGAGTGCCGCTGCGGCCCCTGCGCTGCACCGTCCGCCTGTGGGACACCTGCCAGGTGAGTGCCCGCCGCGGCCCCTGCGCTGCACCGTCCGCCTGTGGGACACCTGCCAGGTGAGTGCCGCCGGCCTGTGGGACACCCGACAGGTGAGTGCCCGCCGGCCTGTGGGACACCTGACAGGTGAGTGCCCGCCGGCCTGTGGGACACCTGACAGGTGAGTGCCCGCCGGCCTGTGGGACACCTGACAGGTAAGTGCCCGCCGCGGCCCCTGCGCTGCACCATCCGCCTGTGGGACACCTACCAGGTGAGTGCCCACCGGCCTGTGGGACACCTACCAGGTGAGTGCCCGCCGGCCTGTGGGACACCTGCCAGGTGAGTGCCCGCCGGCCTGTGGGACACCTACCAGGTGAGTGCCCGCCGGCCTGTGGGACACCTGCCAGGTGAGTGCCCGCCGCTCCAGGGCTGCGGGGAGAGCGGCCATGTCATCAGAGCCCGTGAAGCAGGAGGCTCCTGAGCCGGGTCTGCAGCCGGGTGTCCCTCCTGCCGGCGAGCGCCCGGGGGGGCGGGATCGCTTGTGATGCGCTGGTCTGAGCCACGTGTGCCAGGACACGCGTGCTCCCCCGGCTGCGCTCCCAGTTGTTTATATTCGATTTAAAGACGTGCCGGCGGCCAGTGCAGCCTGAAGTCCCTCCTCCGACCCAGATGGAGCCATTGCTCAGGAGCCTGTGTTTCTGGAACAAACCACCCTGTTCCCAAGGGTCCCATTGCTAACCTGGCCTTTCCGTTTCGGTGCGATGATTGCTGCAGCCGAGGCCGGGCTGGGTGACTCATGGTCAGCAGCGCCGTCGGCGGCTGGAGTGCCTCCCAGGAGGCCGTGCCCTAACGAGAGCAGCGTCCTGCCTCGGTGACCGGGCCGGGGCTGGGGGCTGCCGCAGAGCCAGAGCCGGAGCTGCTTGGTTGCACTGACCCGCAGCCTGCGTGGACGGTGTGGAGGGGGTGGGAGGCCGGGCCTAGGTGCTCCCTCCTTCTGGTCTCCGTGCTCCGGCTCCATGTCCTTCCTCCCTGACGCTTCCCTTCCCTGTCGGCCGTCCCCCGAGGTGCTTGGTCTCTAACCTCGTCCTGAGCAGCTGGCTGCTGGCGATGCATTTGTAAACGGTCGTGTTCTCAGTCCTCGCCCGTAGCCGCGGTTGGTGCAGAGCTGCTCTGTACATTCTTACCTGCACCTGTGCTGGCTGCTCATCCACCGGAGCTCACTGCGCTGCTTGTCCACACAGGGTGATTCACAGCAGCCCAGAGAGGGGCACCTGAGTGTCCGTCAGCGACGGCTGAGTGAACACACACACACACACACACACACACACACACACTCACATTCACACACACTCACACTCACACACACACACATTCACACACACATTCACACACATGCACTCACATTCACACACACACATTCACACACATTCACATACACACACACATTCACACACACACATACATTCACATACATTCACACACACATACATTCACACACACACATTCACATACAAACTCATTCACACACACATTCACACACACTCACATGCACACACATATTCACACACACTCACACATACATTCACACACACACATTCACACACACACACATTTACACACACATTTACACACACATTTACACACACATTTACACACACACATTCACATATACACACACATTCACACACACATTCACACACACATTCACACACACACACACACACTCACACACATTTACACACACACACACATTCACACACACACATTCACGCACACACATTCACACACATTCACATACACACATTCACATACACACTCATTCACACACACACACGCACTCACACACACATTCACACACACGCACACACATTCACACACGCACACACACACATTCACACACACATTCACACACACACTCACACACAAACACACACACACTCACACATACATTCACACACACACATTCACACTCACACACACATTCACACACACTCACACACACACACTTGCGCACACACACATGTACTCACACACATTCACACACACACACACACACACACACAGCGTCATTCAGATAAAGAAGGAAGCCCGTGCTTGTGGCTGGGCCTTGGGAGAGGGAGAGGGGGAGGCAGCCTGGTCTTGGAGAGGGAGAGGGAACTGGCTGAACTGGCTGGGCTTCAGGGAAGTCTGGGAGAGTCCAGAGCAGCTGTGCGATGGAAGGTTCTGGAAGATGGAAAGGCCCGTAGGGTAGCCTCCAGGCACAGGGGGCTCTTCAGCACTTGAAAAATGTGACGGAGGGACTGGCTTTTAAATTACTTCCTTTTAACTCATTGAAACTTAAATGGCCCAGGCCCGGGCACCAGGCCAGGGTGGAGGGGAGTGCCTGCTGGGAGGGGCGCCCCTCCGTGAGCCACAGGAGGGTCCCCCACCAGGAGCTGCTGCTGGTTTCGTTCCGCTCCTCCCGCTCCTTCCCGCAGCGTCCAGAGGCCTCTGCCAGCTGGAGGCTCGGCCACTGCCCCGCCCTGAGCGTGCCTCAGGCACACCCTGAGGGCGGTTGCCAGTCGCCGGACAGGAAGCGGGCAGCTCGTCGCCCTTGGCCTCCATCTGGTCACTCACCGTCCGTCTGGGGCGCCCCCTCCCGAGGCAGGGCTCCGCCCACGAGGCTCCGAGCACCCAGGCCCTGGCACCCACCTCGCAAGGGAGGTGGCACTGCTATCAGTCCATGGGGCGTTCCCCCAGTGATGCTCTGAGCTGCCTGCTGTGCCCAGCGCCGGGTTCTGTCTGTCAGGAAAGGGTGTGCCTGGACACTTTCCGGAAGCATGGACGCCGGTCTGCTTGGGCTCCACAGCGCCGTTCTGCCGCTAGCTGGGCACTGCCCGCACGGCTGTGGGCAGGCCGCTCTGGAGCGCACCGTGGGGTCTGCTGAGCATCAGCAAGGCGTCTCTGGTGCATGGCTGGCAGGAGGCTCCCGCGAGGGCAGGCAGAGTGTGAGCCCCACGCGCCTGGCCAGTCCTGCTGCCCTGCCCGGTGGTCTGGAGCCCGCACTGCGTGGCTGTGGGCCAACACGTGGCCCGTCAAGTGTCTCGCTCAGGGCCCACAGGCTCCCCAGGGTGGCGGGTGGAGCCCTGTGGGGCGTGGCCCCTTGGGGCGGGAGGGGGCTGGGTGTGTCCTCTGCACACCTGGTTACTCTGGTGCTGAGACAGCGCCCTCATTGTCTTTAAAAAAACGTATGTATTTTTATTTCAGAGAGCAGGAGGGAGAGAGAGATAGAAACATCAATGAGGAGAGAGAATCATGGATCGGCTGCCTCCTGCACGCTCCCTACTGGAGATGGAGCCAGCACTGGGACCTGTGCCCTGACCGGGAATCCAACTGTGACCTCCTGGTTCATGGTTGACACTCAGCCACGGAGCCACGCCAGCCTGGCAGTGCTCCAGTTGTCTTGACTTGTGTTCCTGGTTATAGGGCCCCCTTACCAGGCAGAGGTCAAAGAGCAGATGGCAAAGGGCAGGGCAGGCATTCATGATGGCAACTTCCAGGCCTAAGGAAGGATAGTGTCACAGTAGGCACTGGAACCCCTTTCCCCCTGCTGCCCGCCCACCTGCGCCCCTGCAGCACCAGTGAGCACAGGGCTGTTTCCCCGAAAATAAGACATCCTCCGAAAATAAGACCTACTCACAGGTTTCCTTCTGAGTGAAATAGAAGGCATCCCCCGAAAATAAGTCCCCCCCCCTGGGCTACACATGAGAGATTTGGTCCACTGATTCTGAAAGAAATGGAGTCACAAGAAATTCACCAGGAAATTCAGGAATTGGATTGTTATGATGATGTTCCAGAAGATGATGACATGGTTGTCATTGAATAAATGAGTAAATTCTTGATACTGTAGGATTCACAGTTTGGTTTGTGTTGACAACTACCGTACTACCGTACCGTATACAGGCAATAAATTTCCTTTATTTTCATTTAACAATAAATGTGTACCGTATTCTTCTCCATGAAAAAATAAGACATCCCCTGAAAATAAGACCTAGCGCATCTTTGGGAGCAAAAATTAATATAAGACACTGTCTTATTTCCGGGGAAACAGGGTAGAAGGCCCTGAGCAGGGAAGGGGGCACGGGGAGGGCTGCCTCGTGCGGAGCCTGGGCTTACAGACTCCTCGGAGGCAGGCCCCGATGGCTTCCCGGGATGTGCTGAGAGTGGACGTCAGCCTCAGCTGCCCGGCGTGTCCTCAGCGCCACGGTTAGCGCCCCGTTTCCCGTGACCTTCAGCGACCAGCAGAAGCGCCTCTCGAGAGCGAGTGACGCGGTGCGGCAGCCGCCGCCGCCTGCCGGCGGGCCGGGCCCGAACAGCAGGGAGGGCAGCGCCGGGGCAGCCCCGGGCAGGGTGGAGGGTTCCGCATACCGGGGCAGCCCCGGGCAGGGTGGAGGGTTCCGCATACCGGCCTCCCGGCTTCACTGAGGAGCACAGGAGCGGGCGGGGGGTGCGCCCGCCGGCGGAGCCGGGCGATGGCAGATGAGAGTTTTGCCTGTGGGCACGGGCGTGCCCAGTGCCCAGGACCCGTCTGCTTCCACGTGGAGCTCGCCTGCCGCTGCCTGGGCCCGCGAGTGAGCGGCAGCGCTGGCCCCGGGCCCTCAGGAGCCTCCGAAGGCCGCCTGTCCGCTGGCTGGGGGCCGCTCCGCTCTAGGCGCGCGCTGTGCAGCCTGTGGGTAAGGCGCTGCGGTCCTTACTGCGTGAGCGTGAGCAGTCAGACGGGGTCACAGGCAAACGCAGCTTTGTCAGCTGCTCTGACCGCCGTTCAGAGGCTGAGGCTCTGGTGGAGTGTCCTCTGGGGGGACGCCGGGCCCTGTCCTGGGGGTCGGGTGCCCGCTGCCCTGGCCAGGCGCCTGCGGTGCCCTGTCGTGCACTTGCCTGCGGGAACGGGGAGCAGATGCTGTCTGCGGAGATGGATGGGACCGCGTCCTCTCATGAGAACAATGTCCTCGGGGCTCTCCCAGAGCCCATGTGTGGGGTGAGAGGAGACGGGGGGGGGGGAGCAGGGCCCATTGGGAGAAGGCTGCAGCCTCGCCTCGGACCTAATTAATTCTCCATCAGCCGGTTTTCGGGAGCGAACGGGAGAGACAATTAAAACGATGCGCGAGGCATAGTTAGGGTCTGGGGAGGTGAGGGTGGACGGCTCAGTGCGCAGTCACACTGTCCTGTGCCTGTGCCTGTGCCTGTGCCCATCGGAGCGCTCGCTCACAAACACCCTCCAGCTGCTTCCAACTCAGCAAGGCCCAGACGTTTTAACAGCGTTAAGGCTAATTACTCTGTCCTCTGTTAAAACGCTCCTATTGCGAAGTCTAACCGGACAACGGAAGTTGCACAAGCAGGCTTTTAAAGGAGCTCAGCTCCCTGGTGTCAGGGCGGTGCACCCCCTCCCCCGGGACCCAGGCGGCGGGCACCGCTGGGCAGACTGGACGCGACAAGAGCCTGAGCCAGCCCGCTGGCGCCCCGGTCCAGGCGGAGGGCGCCGAGCATGGGCTGCCCTGCGGTCCCAGTGTCCACGAGCAGGTGACAGCAGACTGCTCCTGCCCGAGGTGTGCCAGCTGGGAGGTGCCGCCTGTCCGCCCTGGGCCCGGCCTCTGGCGAGCACGGCTCCCACGGAGAGTCCTCCCGCCCCACGGCTCCCAATGGTCTCTCGTGGGCACGTGGTTTTGAATTACACACCCGGGCGCCTCGGGGGTGTGTGCTGAGGTTATTGGGGTGAAATCTGAGCGCCATTCTCGGGGCTGTTTGCAGTGGATGACTTCACACTCGCTTGGGAGGCAGCTCCTGAGCCGAGGGAGAGAAGGTGACGCCACGAAGCGTGGGGGCGGGGAGGTCGGAAGGGGACATGGTGAGCGCCCGTCTTTCCTCGTTAGGGTGCTGCGCCGGGGCTCAGTGAGGCCCAGGCCGCCTCTCCTGTGCCGAGGGCACATGCTGGGCTGTGGGAGTGCCCGTGCCTGGCTGGGCGCAGCCACCTCCCCTCCGGGACCCGCTGCTCTGCTGGCCTCGTGCTGGGAGCGACCCGGGCCGCCGGGTGCTTTCCCAGTGGGCACGTGTGTGCTGGGTCCAAGGCTCCCAGTGCAGAGGCAGGTGTGGACACAGGGCCCACGGAGCAGAGGCAGGCGGGGAGGCCCAGCTCCCCTGGGGTTGTGGGAGGGGGAGGCCCAGCCACTTGCCACCCTCACCGCTCTGTGGCCGAGGCAGCCCTATGGTTCTATGAAGCAGCCGCCGAGCTGCGCTCCCAGCAGTGGGGTGACAGGGCAGTGCCGGCCCACGGGTGGCTGGCAGCGATGCACTGGGTGCAGCAGAGGGGTGTCCGCTGGGTCTGCACCCCATTAGCACCGCTGTGCCTTAGTGCCTCTGCCACATTCCCTGCCACGTGGGCCAGGAAGCCGGCCCCGCGCAGGGCTGCATGGTAGGGGGGGGCCTGGCCCCCAATCTGATTACCCAGCTCGGAGCACCCCCAGAGCTGGGCAGAGTCAGCGAGCCTGTCCTCGGCCGCCGGGCGGTGGGTCCCTGGGCCTCCCCGTGCTCCAGCGAGAAGGGCCGAGGCTCCAGGCTGAGAGAAGGTCTGGTTCTGGGCAGATTTGAATGTGGAGCTGAAAGCCCTAATTTATTAAAGGCTTTCTTTTGGGGCCGATCCATGCAAATAGATTTTCTCTCCCTCTCAATTCTCTCTTAAAATTTAATGCTGCCATAAAAGTGATGGATCAGAAATTATTCCAGGAGAAACGATGCTGGGGCTCCCTCCCTGTGAGGCGGGGCCGGGCTTGTGAGGAGGGAGCGCAGGGGCCGCTGGGAAGGAGGGGCCGTGTGCTCTGGGGAACCACGCCCCGTGCCCCGCGCCCTGCGCTCTGTGCCCCATACCCCACGCCCCATGCTGCTCTTGTGGGTGCCCGCGCTTTACGCACAGCCACGTCTGCCACGTCCTGCCTCCTCGAGCTCACCGTGCAGCCCCCACTAAGGACCCTCGATCGCCCTAAGCGGTGTGGCTCAGTGGGTAGAGCGTCAGCCTGCAGACTGAAAGGTCCCAGGTTCAGTTCCGGTCAGGGGTGTGTACTTGGTTTCGGGACATCCCCGGTGGGGGGTGTGCAGGAGGCAGCTGATCGATGTTTCTCTCTCATCGATGTTTCTGACTCCCTATCCCTCTGCCTTCCTCTCTGTAAGAAAATCAATGCAATGTATTTGTAATAATAATAAAAAAGGACCCGCGATCACAGCAAAGGCGTGGGGGCCAATCCCACACTGAGGTCGGAGAGGCCCGTGTGACGGCAGCCTCTCACCCGCCCCTCCCAGCGCAGCGCCCAGTTCCTGCCGTGTGGTTATGGTCCGTGTGAGGCGCTGGCCACAGGCCGTGGGGGAACATGGAAGCCGAGACCTCAGCACAGGTGCCTGCGCGGTGTGAGGCCCACGTCCCCCCAGGCCGGCTGGTGGGAGCCCCAGAATTAGGCGCGGTCAGGCCTCAGAGCAGCAGCGGGGCTGGGGCTGCTGTCGCTGACACCGCGCCCGCAGGGGGCCATGGCGGGGGGCGGGGGGTGGAGACAGGGGACCACACTGGGTATTTCCGAGGAGACTGTGCGGTGCAGTGAGGGGGGAGCCGGGAGCCGGGCAGGAAGGGGAGCCGCTCCTGCCACTGGAGCCCCGAGGGGGGGCGTCCCGTGGTCGCGCAGCCGGGGCACCGGCTCCGGCAGCCCGGCGCTTCGTTCCGGCAGAAATTACCGGAGAGCTTAACGACGCAATTAACGGTGAAGAACGGCTCCTTTATTACGTTTCTCTTCTAGAAAAAATAGAAGGAACGCCGTTTCTTTGCCTGACTTCCTGCCGTAAAAACTGCTGTCACACCTAAGTAATTTGCATTTAGTTAATCTGCAGCCGTTTCGAACTTTAATTTTTCGTGTTGTAAGCAGAACTGTCTCCGCTGCAGAGCCCGGAGCGCGGCTCCGAGGGGGACAGAAGGAGGGTGCGGGGCGGGCGGGCCGGGCGGCGCCTCTGGGGGGTGTGGTCACCCCGAGCGGCCCCCAGAATCCGGGGCCAGGAGGGCGGGCGGCGTGTCTCAGCAGGGCCTGGACCCCACGAAGGCGCCGAGGGGATGCCCAAGGTCATGGAGGTCAGGGCTGAGGATGGGGTGCACTCAGGCCAGTGTCTTAATTGCCGTGGCGGGGAGGGGAGCCGGGCCACCGAGCACAGCGGTCCCTGCAGGAGCCGTCCCTACCCCCGGAAGGAGCGTGCACAGGGGCGTGTCGGTGTGATGCGGGCCTGTGTGATCTCTCGTCACAGTCTAAGTTGCTCTGAGTTCTCTGACTGCACACAGTGCTCCAGGGCCGCCTCCTGCGCGCCCTCCGGGTGCAGGGGACGGTGTGCTCAGAGTGGGCGCAGCCCCGGGGGGGTCTCTCTGAGCGAGGGGCAGCCTGAGGGCCAGCTGAGCCGGGAGCTGGGGAGGGCGAGGCGTGAGGGCACTCCTTAGGCATCAGTCCCTGCAGCGCGGGGAGAGCGAGCCCTGGTGTGGGGCAGGCCCGGCCCGCTGCTGTGTCCGCCATGGCTTCCCTGTGCCCGGCTCCCGCCACGGGCCCAGCAGACACAGGCCGGTGTGAGCTTCCTCAGCCTGCTCAGCGGGCCGCAGTGCTTAAGGAGAAACGTGTTTATTTGATGCCATGTGCGGGGGATCCTGGTGCCCGGCTGTGGTCCCAGAGCCCGACGGCACGAATTCGGGGTGGGGGGCCGGCCCGCCCACCTAACCTCTCACCTTTTTTTGTTGTCTGTTTGAAGGATTACAAGTAGTGCACATGTCTCCTTCCTTCCCCCTGACCTCCCCAGCTCCCCTCCCCCGCAGATGCCTCCCCGCCCCCGGTCTTGTGCCGTTGGTCACGCCTGTCCCTTCTCTCTTGCAGTCGGAGCCCGAGGGCTTCTCTCGGTTCCACCTGTACGTGTGTGCCGCGTTCCTCCTGAGGTGGAGGAGGGAGATCCTGGAGGAGAGGGACTTCCAGGTGAGCCGGCTCTCCCAGCCTCCCGGGCGCCCTCGTGGGCTGGGCCCTGGCCCCGCAGCTGGGGGGGCTGTTTCTCGGGCTCCCGGGAAGCCTCAACCCGTCTCCTCAGCAACGTGTGGGAGAGCCACGTTCACACCCTCCTCAGAGGCTCTGAGCCCCCGGCGCCGAGGCCGAGCCCCCAGCCTGTGCCGGTGCGGTTTGGCCCTGCTTCCCGCGGTGCCAAGGGCCATCCTCGCGCCGTGCCTGGAGGGCGGGGATGGGAACCCTGGAGTGGGGGGCGGGCCAGGCCTCCCCGTGATGGCCCAGGCGGAGCCGGCCCGGGGTCCCCCTGCGGAGTCGGCAGCCGCGGGTGTTGCTGAGGCCGGGGCGGCGTGTCCCCACACCCGCGGGCGCAGTGTGCTTGCCGTCTGGGGAGACGTGCCCTCCCGTCCCCGGTGTGGCCTGGGCAGCTGTGTCACCTAATTAGTCTGAGGATTTCCAGGGCAAACACGATAGGATTTCTCCGCTCGGTCTTGGGGTTTGTTTTCTGAGATAAAGCACACAGAAAGGTACATTGATCTTTTAATTCCTCATGCAAAGAGAAAACATTTGCTCTCCTCTCATTCAGTGTCTGCTTCTCCGCTGGCCGGCGGGTGGCCGGGGTGCCGGCCGGACGCAGCGCCGGGCAGGAGGGGGCTCCGTTTCTCTGTCGGGCCTCTGCTGCTGGGGCCGGGACAGTCGCTGCGGGTCTCTGAGAACCGGGCGTGGCCAGGCACACCGGAGGCGGGCAGGAGCCGCGCTGCTTGGCCGTGCTGGCGCGGCTCCCATGGACGGGGACAGGGGCCCGACGCGCTGATGTCATCGCGTCAGTGCCCGGTGCAGACCTCATGCAGCTGTCAGGTCCGCCAGCGCGGAAAAGCGAGGCTTAAACTACGTGTCCTCGCATCGCTGGCTGACCGCTGACCGCTGCCTCAGCCCTCCCCTGCGTTGCAGTCCAGGGCCTGTCCCGGAGAGCGGCCGGTGTGGCGCAGTGAGGGGTGGATGCGCAGGGTGTGAACAGGCGGCGGCGGCGCCTCAACCAGACGGGCTGTGGGAGAGTCGGTGTTTACGGACGGCCCGCCTGCCCTGCCTCCGCGGAGGTCGCCTCGCAGCCAAGCGGCATTCCCATCTCCCTCCGCCCGCTCGGCACCAAATTAGATTCTGGAATGGAGTGCGCGGCCGAGCCGGAGCTCGGCATGCTGGGAGGGGACTGCGGTCACCTTGCGATGGGAGGTCAGGATGATATGGAGCGAAGTGGATTAGGAATGAGCCCCAGGCGTTTATTTACGACCTGCGCGGAATTGGATTGGCACCTGTGCGGGTCGCGTCGGAGGGCGGGCGGCAGATTGATGCTGAGTCGTCCCCGGGGACTCGCCGGGACGCGTGCTCTGCGAGCTCAACGCTGAGGCCGGGAAGAGTCTGAACTAAAGGACAGAGCGAGGGGAGGCGAGGCCGGGCAGGGGGCTCCGACCAGCTCAGGGCCACGTGGCCGCACGCACAGCCGGGGGGAGGGGGCTCCGGCCCCACGCACAGCCCGGGAGGAGGGGGTGCCTAGCACACAGCCCGGGTGAGGGGGCTCCGGCCCCACACAGCCCTGGGAGCCAGGCCCCTGCTCCAGAGGAGGAGCCCAGCTCACCAGGCAGTTCACCAGGGCGGAGGCACATGCTGACCCCACCTCTATGGGAAACACAGTGATGAGGGCCAGTGCCTGCCCGTGTGCCTGCCCCCCTGTGGGGGAGGGGCACAGTTACTCCGGCTGCTTCCTGCGGGGCTGATGCCTGGGCTCACTGCACCCCTCGCTGCCCGGGTGCCTTTTCCGGGTCCCCCCGCCAGCCTGGTGTGCAGCCCTCCCGCGGCGCCCGCTGACCTGCCGTCCCTCCCCAGGAGCTGCTGCTGCTGCTGCAGAACCTGCCCACGGCCCGCTGGGGCGACGAGGAGGTGAGCCTGCTGCTGGCCGAGGCCTACCGCCTGAAGTTCGCCTTCGCCGACGCCCCCAACCACTACAAGAAGTGACGGCCACCCAGGCCCACGCAGGGACGAGCAGCGCCCGCCGGCGCCGTGGCCAGGGAGCGGCGGCGGACAGCCCGGCCCGGCGCCTGCCGGAGGCGCAGGCACGGCTGGCCTGGCGGGCGGCGGCCTGCTGCCGAGACACCAAAGAGAGCAGGAGGGGCCGGCGTGTGGGCCGGCGGCGGGCCCTCCCGTCCTGGAGGACTTTTGCCAAATGACCCTCCGGGGACCCAGCGGCGGCCCTCGGAGAGCCTGCGTCGGGCGCAGGGACAGAGGGACGGGAGCCGTCACGCACCGGCTCTGAAACGCAAACATTCTGTTCTGTTGAGTGAAAGAATAAAGTACAGACACACGGTCAGTGAGGAGCCTCCTCGCGGGCTGGGCACGGCGGCCAGCTCCGCCGGGAAGCGCCCAGACGCGGGAACCGCCTCAGCCCCCGCCCCCCCTCGGGAGCCCCCCCTGCTCCGTCCTAGCCCAGGGCGGCTCCGCCACCTGCTGCCCGTCGTCTCTGTGCGTCCAGGGGTCCCTTCGGGCAGGCATCGTGTCTCCTCCCTCTCCCCGCCTTGCTCTGGGCCCAGGGGGTGCAGAGCAGCAGCAGGGCACGCACCCCACTTTACCAAGGAGGAAACGGGCAGGGGGGTCAGACAGCTCTCCAGGGCCCACGCTCGCCCTCGCTGTCCTCGCAGTGGGGCCTCCTTCCGTGCCCCCAGCTTAGAGATGGAGGGAGGGGTTTGCAGTGACCCCTCAAGGTCACGTGACCGGCCTCGGCCTCGCTGAGAGACCCTGGGGCAGATGGGTGGGCGTGGCTGCTGGGGCGCCTGCCCCCACCCCGGTGCACCAGGAGCGCCCCCCTCGGGGCTCCTGCCCTCGCCCGCTGTCGCTCAGGGCCCTGTGGGCACCGGGCTGCGGGCGAACCCTCCCCCCTGAAGGATGGCCAGCGATTTGCCAAGTTAATGCGTTCGCTCTCCGCGTCCCGGAGCCCTAATGAGGTGTCCGCGGGGACGGCCGGCTGAGCGGATGAGCAGGATGACTGCTGCGGTGTCATTACCTCTTGTAATAAGATTTACTTGTCGCTGACAACGGAGCCCGTGGTCATTTACTGGTGACTGATGGAGGCGTGCCGCTCGGGGCAGCCGGGAAGGTCAGCCCCTACTGCGCGCCCGGGGCTCCCGGCTCGGCGGGCAGGGCGGCTCCTCCCACCTGGCCCAGGGCCCCGTGCGCCCAGCTCCTGGGTCAGAGCGTCCTTGTTCCCGCCGCGCTGCTGCAGGGCCGTGTCCGCCCTGAGGGAAGGCCTGGGGAGCGCGGGCTGGTGCCTGGCACGCCCGGTCAGCCGGGGGAGGGGGGAGGCCTTTCTAGAAGCCGCAGGCTGGACACCGTGTCTTGGGGGCCATCCAACCTGGGAGGGCAGGGCCCTGGGGCAGAGGGTGGGGCCGTGAGGGATGCGTAGGAGTTGGCTGGGGAGAAGAGGGCATTCTGGGAAGGGTCGCTGGCGCCTCCCCGTGCCTGCCCCGGCTGGAGAGGGGAGAGGCATTTCCCAGGCGTGTGGAGCGTGAAGGTGGACAAACACGCACCTGCTCTGCGTGCTCAGAGGGGCTCTTGGCTGAGGAGGGGCGGATGGAGGCATGGAAGGAGGGATGGATAAGGGATGGATGAATGAGGGAGGGATGGAGGGATGGATAAGTGGATGGATAAGGTATGGAGGGGTGGATGGATGGAGGGAGGGAGGGATAGATAAATGGATGATGGATAGAAGGAGGGATGGATAAGTGGATGATGGATGGAGAGAGGAAGGGATGGGCACGAGATGTTTGTCTTTCACATTTAGTGCCTGCCTCCCAGAGCGCGCTCTCCTGGAAGGTCCCTCATTTCCGGACACATTTACACCCACGTGCTCTCCACCCACACGGGGCCAGCCCCTGCGGGACTCGCTTTCCCACCTGATGGGACAGACACGCCTTGGTGGTTCCCAGCTTGGCCGATGGCCATGTCCACCCCAGCCTGCCCCCTGGTCACCGCCCCCTGCCCCCGCTCACCGCCCCCTGCCCCCTGCCCCCTCCCCCCTCCTCCCCCGCTCACCGTCCCCCTCCCCCCTCCCCCTGATCACCGCCCTCCTGCCCCCTCCTCCCCCGCTCACCGTCCCCCTGCCCCTGCTCACCGCCCCCCTGTCCCCGCTCACTGCCCCTCTGCCCCCGCTCACCGCCCTCCACACCGGAAGCCGGGACCAATCCTGCATCTGCCTCTGGCATCGCTCCTGGCTGCATGCCAGACACCAGGGGCGGTGGCTGGGCCTCAGGAGAAAGGGAACTTGTCCTTGAGCAGCCGAGAGCCGCACATCTCCATCAACGACACGGGCCCACACGGGCGGTGCGTGTGCCATGTGCTTAGGGTGCCAGTGTGGCGCTGGGATGGGCGGGGCCCAGCAGCGGTGAGTACTGGCAGGCATGGGGGCAGCACTGGCGGAGAGGAGAGCCCGCCAGGCAGCGGGCTGTCCACCTGGTCTCAGCTCTCAGGGCGCTCTCCTGAGCCACCCACCGGCCACCATTGCTCCAACGGCTCTAGTCCAGGGCCCGGACCTCCTCTCCACACACACCCAGCCCACCTCACCCCTCCTCGGAGTAGAAGGGGCTCTGCAGGTGGGCCCTTCTTGCCTCTGCTCCCCGCAGGACGGATGACCCACTTCCTCACGGGGAAAGCAAGTATCAAGCGAGCCAGCTCCCCTGGGGTCCTGCTGCTGGTTCCCAAACACTGGACCAGCCTCACATAGCACTTATGGCGGATTGCCGGCTCCTGTCTTCGCGGCCAGGAGCTCAGGGGCGTGGGGGATTGCATCCCATTCATTTCTCTCTGCCTCCCATAGGTTTTGGCACACAGTAGGAGCTCAGTGATAACCTGGATAAATGCATAAGGGGGCAGGGAGGAAGGAAAGATGGAGTGGATGGATGGGTGGATGGGCCAGTGGACGGATAGATGAATGGATGAGTGGATAGATGGATAAGTGGATGCATGGATGGGTGGGTGGATGTATGTATGTAAGTGTGTATGAGTGGATGGAGGGATAGATAAATGGATGGATGCATAGATGAATGGAGGGATAGATAAGTGGATGGATGGATGTGTGTGTGGGTGGATGGATGGGTGGGTGAATGGATGATGTGTGAATGGATGGACAGATGAGTGGGTGAGTGGATGGGTGGATGGACATATAGGTGGATGGATGAATGGATGGATGGATGAGTGGATAGGTGGGTGAATGAGTGGATGGATGGGTGTGTAGATGGGTAAATGGATGAGTGGGTGAGTGTATGGATGGGTGGGTGGGTTGGGTGGATGAGTGGGTGGGTGGATGAGTGGATGGATGGATGAGTTGGGTGAATGGGTGGGTGGATGGATGAGTGGATAGATGAGTGGGTGGGTGGATGAGTGGGTGGGTGGGGTGGATGGATAAGTAGATGAGTGGGTGGGTGGATGTGTGGATGGGGAAATGGATGAGTGGATGGATGAGTGGGTGGATGAGTGGATGGATGAGTGGGTGGATGAGTGAATGGATGAATGGATGGGTGGGTGGATGGATGAGTGGATGAGTGGGTGGATGAGTGGGTGGATGAGTGGATGGATGAGTGGATGGGTGGATAGATGAGTGGATGAGTGGGTGGATGAGTGGATGGATGAGTGGTTGGATGGGTGGATGAGTGGATGAGTGGTTGGATGGGTAGATGGATGAGTGGATGAGTGGGTGGATGAGTGGGTGGATGAGTGCTGGGTGTTCGGACCCTGCCCTAATTTGGAGAAGGCTCATGTGTCCGCAATCCCGGGACCACTGGGCACCCCAGGAGCAGGAGGCACACTGTCTTCCCACGCCCTGGAAAGGCCTTTTTCTTCCGGAAACGAGGCCTGGCCTGTGTGTCTGTGGTCGCTGCCAAGGCTGTTGGCGAGGCCGCCTGCTTCCTGGGCCAGAGCTGCTCCTGGGGGTCCTGCTGGCGCTTTGCTTCCCGCTGGGACCGCAGGAGCCAGTGCAGAGCCCGCAGTCTGGGGTGAGCATGCCCCCCCACCCCTCCCCTCCAACCCCCCCCACCAGTGTCTGCAGGGCAGGGGCAGCCTCACCGAGGGACCAGGTGCCCCTCCAGGTCCCGGATTTGGTTCCGAAGCACCGAGTGAGGACCAGCAAGGCCTCGGGGTCTCATCTTGTCACCCCATCCCGGCACCGGGAGGAGCCCCTGCCTCTCCCAGACTTGGGACCCGGAACCCAGCGCAGACGGGAGGCCTGCCCGGGCCTGGCAGGGGCCCTGAGTGGGTGCCCCGGGGCCCCGGCAGCCCCCTGGGGTCCTGTCTAGAAGAGCAGGTGGGAGGCCCCGGCCCCGGAGCCCCAGGAGGGAGCGGGAGGGACGGCGCCAGAGGCACCCCCAGGGCCAGGGGGGCTGCACCTCCACCCGCCCTCCCCCTCTCCTGCCAGGACTGCTGGGCTGGTCCCCTGGGTGCGGCAGGCCGGCGGGGCCTGGGGGAGGCAGTGGCAGGGCCTCTTCCCTGGAGACACTCTGGGCACTGGTCCCGCAGGTGCCAGCCGGCCCAGGCCCTCCCGTCTCGGGGTGACCACGGCCCCGTGTCTCCCTCGGGGCTCCCTCCCGGACCCTCAGCCTGTGAACGGGCTTCCCAGAGGCCAGTGAGTCTGACGCGGGGGACGTGACCCTGCTCACCAGGGGGGGCAGCTGAGGGGAGGAGGGTGGCCGAGTCCTGGGCCCAGGCCCCGGGGCCTCCTTTGCTCCCCAGGGAACAGCCCCCTCAGTGTGGCCGGGACAGGCCCAGTGTCCCCCGGAGAGGGGCCCCCAGAGCCGTGGGGACGAGGCCGCCTCAGGTCCCGCCGAGCCCCAGTCTGGACTCTGAACCCATCGTCCCCCCCAGGTGAGGGGCCCCGAGGCGGAAGGAGGGGTGCAGCAGGGATGAGGGGCTCAGGATGGGGCTCTCCTCCTGCACAGGCTCCCAGCGCCGCCGGCTCGCACCCAGGCCCGATG